CTTGATTCTCTCTAACGAGAACCTAGCCGTGTCATTTGTTCCCACATGAAGGATTATCAAGGGGTTCTTACTCCCGATGCCCAAAACCATGTGCCCATTCAGGACTGCTGCCAGGGAGGGGCGCATGACCCCTCTCGTGGCTTCCCTGTCAGAATCTATTATTCTGTGGGGAAACAAAAAAATCTGCAGGGTACATGAATTCTGCACCTGCGCAGAATTCCCTCAGGAGCATATGGTTTATAATTGGCACAACTATTCTTTATTTGGAAGTCAAAGGAGATATTTCATGTTGTGATTACAAATGTATTTCCTTCTGGATTAGAGGACTGCAAGCAAGTATCCATCCTACTCCAAATAGGATACAAAACAAACTTGATATGGTCTAAATGTCTCTTTTGGGTTTGCCTTTACTGTTAAACAGCACATTAACTTCTCAGACTAAGCTCTCTCTTCAGCTTGGCTTTTGTAGCATCCTTCCAATCTGCCTTTTGCTCTTTCTATCCCCTTTTATATGGAGCTGGCTTGGAGCTCCTAGGACCTACCTGTCAACATGAATAAGTTGAAATTACTCTGCAAGCTTTATACAGAGTTCTAACATCTTACATTATAGTGACTCAGCAGAAGAGGCCTATTCTCCTACAGACGTCCCAAGAACTTCCCATCCTATTACATGGTGATTCAAATTTAAATGTTTTGACTATGAAAAACTAAACTATTCCTAGACTAAGAATTTCTTGATGTCAAAATGTTCTGTTTTAAAAATGGAGGGATAACAGCAGATACTGTAAAAGATGTGCAAGAGAAAAGTCATTCTTCAGACCATTTATTCACTCTGAAATGGAGCTCAACTTTTTTTTTTTTAAAAGATCATTTTGTCAGTATTAGGTCTCTTCTGTTTGACATGCTCCAGACACTGAAGAACAATAAATATGTTGTTCATGAGATATAGAGAACTCCTAGTGATATTTGCAACAATTGCATTTTAACATTCAAAAATTCATTGTTGCAGTAGCTACAAGAAATTTTCCCCCAATTATCAACCCAGGATAATCTGACATACCCCTTTACATTACATCTCTTACAGACATACTGAAATAAACATGGAGCTCCTAGTACAAGCCGTTTGAGAACTGAGGTGGGGGTAGGAAAATCAGAAAGTAAATTTTTAGATTCTCAAATAGTCAGTCCAATCAACCTCAAAATTAGCACATAAAAAGACCTCGACTTCAGACCAAATTTCAGGTGGGAAACAATTATGAAAGTTGGAGGGAGTAAGGGAAATGACTGACATCTTACCATTACACCATAATGTCCCTTTAGGGGCCAAGTGGTTTTTGAACTTTACATTTTATGTAATGACATCACAAATGTACAAAATATGCTTTGCATATGATTGCAAAAACAGCAGCACTCTGGAGTCTAGCACATGCTGTAATATTATAATAATGAATCTACTTCAGCATAGCAGATTTTAATAATACTTTAATAGTACTGGTAGGAAGCCAAATTACATAATGTCCCAAAATATGGAACAGAAAGCCTTTACAGAAAAAATAAAAGCTTACTGAAATATAACCATATTTAAAAAAAATATGATTACCTCTGGGATAAAAACATCTTCTAAACAAAGCCATTAGGCATATTTAATTTTAAAAAAATCAAATTAAAGAAAAGGCATTCAAATCTATTCCCAAACCTCAAAATAAAATTAAAAAGGATATTATTTTAGACAACATTTGTGAAAATGAAGACACTGTGCCAGCATTAAGAAACAAGCTAAAACCACAATTACTACTTTTGGCATAGACAACCTCAACATGGGTTGAATATCTCTTGTTTCTCTCTGAGGACAAGAAATGATTCAATTACTTTACAGGTTAATTCTGAGATTGAACTGTGTTGGATTGTCTAGTAGAAACTTAGACCAATAAACTAACTTCCTTTTAGGCAAGAAAATCAACTCCAAATAAGGTCCCATAGGTGAAAGTCCAATGATTTATTCACTTAGCCCCCATTAAGTTCAAGGTGTCTTGGGGAAAAGAATTTAAAGCCTCTCTAAACTGAATCCAACACAGAAAATTCTCCAAACATAACTAAAAAACACATACACACGCCATATATTACAATGTAAGACAGCAATTAAAAGTAAAATCACTATCACGTCTGCAAATAAAAGTACATTGCAACAGTATAGTTTGACACCACAATATTTTAATCTAATTGTTGTAACTTTTTAACAAGAATATTCTAGTGCTACTGTAGATTGAATATCAATATTTGCATGGACATCTCCTCTTACACTTCATGTGTATTAGCTATTTAGTTCCCTGTGTTCAATAAGGACACATCCATATATGTAAGTGAGGTTTTCCAGCATGCTATTGCCTACAATAAATACTACTGTTAGACTGTCTACAATGATTCTGACTCCATTTAATAGAGCACATGATGGACATAGTAAGAATCAAAACCATTTTCTTGTAGTACATATGCAGTACTATGTTTCCTCTATATAGTTCTAGATTTTAAAGCAGGCTTGAAAAAAAAATGCAGCAACCAAAAAGTTTAGATGTAGATTCTGTATGACAAGGCTGACAGAGAAAAATTTCAGGCCTTACATTCTTCAGATGTCTACTTTAGCTGTAGTGGCTATTAAAAAGTTATGTGTAACTTCAAGATGAAAGGCATTAGCAGCTTCTCAGAAAAGGATAATCACAATCTTCTAGAGATTTAATGAGACGTAACTCACAGAGGCTTTTGACTCGGTCTGCCGTTAATTGAATCAAAGTCAATGATGATCTTATTGCACTTTGGTTTGAATTTCCTGAAAATAAGAAAAAATATGGATAGATATTAGCCAGTGAGTAGTTAAATATTTTGTTTGCTTTGGCTCCAACTAAATTTTTTAAAGAAAAAAAATTTCCTTGGATTCACTTAGCGTTTTATCTCTATAGGAGCCAATTATAGTGCACCATACAGAGAGAAACCCGGACAAGAAAGACTAAGACAAAAAGACACATGGGGTTGTTTAGTCTGTATGTTCTTCAGCTATTGGAGTTCATAAATTACCCAGGAGTCAAAGGATTTCTAACAACTTAGCTGCAGGAGGTGGCATCATGTTACCAGTTTTTCTGCAAAATTTGATCTCTTTTCTTTTCTGCCAAGTTTTCACAGCAAACTTTAAAAGTTTACTTCAATAGTTTTTGAGCAAAGGGAATAGATTGCATTATGCATCATACAAGAAATAACTAAAATGGTTAAGAAGGAATAATTTAAAAATTATAACTTTAGAACTGTAAAATTAATATTGCCACAAAATGCATCCTTTTACACCATTAGAGCATCTGCTATTGCAATTAGCAAGGAAGGTATTTGGGGACTGAATATATAATTTACAATCTACGAATAAACAAAGAATTATGCAAATGGTGTGAATTTAGTGTCTTATTAGGCTCCACAATTCAGTTCCAGAGATTCATTAAGTACAACCTGTATCCTTAATAATCAATACAAGAGGTGAAAACAGTAAACACAGTAAAGGATATGTTGTTGAAACCTTGAAGGATTATGATGCCCATTTTGTCCAGACCAGCAGTCTGAAAAAGCAAGTAACAACATTCACCATGGGGAAACTGTGGTAAGATTTCACTTGTAACGGAATGATTTATGCCTTACTTAGCCAAGTAGCTTTAGTGGCAGGAAATACACGGACTTTAAAAGTGAATTTTAAATACTGCTGTACTTGTTCATGGGTGTTTCTTAGCCCAGCAGGTAGCTTTCATCCTAAAATTTTCTCTGTCAGAATTGCAGTATTTGTAAAATTTAAGAAGGTTTTATATTAATATTGTAAAACTTTTTGGAATTTTAAAGTCTCCCCATGACTGCGTAATTAGTCACACCCATAGCATGTTATTGGTATCAAACTAGCTGTCAAACAGATTATCTTGAGATATCTCTGTCACTACTCTTAAAAAAAAAAAAAAAAAAAATCTACTCAACAGATCATTCAGATTCTCATTAGTTCAGGACAGATATTCCAGGTTTTATTCTTTTTCTTTAAGAAAGCAGACTGTGGAAGACCAGAGGGTGATAGGGATTGATAAATGATTATACGAGAACCTCTTACCCTATGTAGCTGTGTGGTGGGGTGACTGCCCCACACAGGTAGATGGAGGGTTAAAGCAGTCCTCAGAGAGGCTGCAGAAAACCCAACCAATGGGAGGAGGGCATGTAGAGAGCCAATCAGCAGAAGGTTTGTTGGAGCAGCCAATCGGGCCAGGGAGGACCATATACAAAGGGCTGCTCAACAGAGCTGGGGCAATCTCTCCCTGGAATGCAAGAGAGGAGGACTGGCTGCCTTAGAGGTGTACCTTAGATAATGCAGTGTTGGGCAGGGTCAGGGGAGCAACAGGGAGCTCCAGCCTGAGGCCCCTGATACAAAGGGCCAGGAAGGTACTAGGGCTATGGGGAAGTGGCCCAGGGAAATAGACAGTGGGAGTTGGAGGAGTGGCAGCACGTGGCCGCTGGCTAAAGGGTCCCTGGGCTAGGGCCCAGACCCCTCTTCCCCCCACCTGTCACAGAGGGGTGGCCAGTATTCAGACTGCAGTTTACACCTTGAGGTGAGGGGCTAGACAGTAGGCCGCAGCAGAAAGTGGATGGACTAGAGACAGCCAATTCCCGCGAAGGAGGGAGAAAGTGGAGTGGGTGGCCCAAAAGAGGATGCCACATTCTGGGGAGCGATGCGCATCTTAGAGGTGGAGCAGAAGTGATGGTGGTGAAACACCACTAGGGAAAGGTGCACTGGCAACCAAGAGTTAAATTCCCAGCACGGCCAGCAGGAGGCGCCGAGGTGGTGAGTCCTGCCCTCACAAGCTGGTTTAACTCCAGCTCAGACTGGTTGTGACAGAAGATTATTACCCTTCCAACAGGACTCCATGGTCTACATAAAATGAATTGGTGGTTCCAGTCCAGCTCCTATGAGTACACACACCAGAAACCACCACCCCAATGGGCAATCTTGATGGCAGTCTCAGGAGAAAGGCCAAGGATTGAATGAACATTAGGACGAGAAGGCAGGTCACTCCCAAGTCCCACGAGATTGGACAGCATCTGCTGCTGTTCTCCAGGGACCAGACTTTCAAAGGTGCTGAATTGACTGGTACTAAATCTGCATGGGAGTTTTTGTAAGAGAATTAACTGTACCACACAAGTTACATAACATAAGGAGACAATAAAGCTTTTGCCTAAAGGTTATCTTCCTCATACAGCAATTTCTTCATTTTCACATTTAAAAGTCAACCACCAGTCAAGGCTCTGTCTTACCTGTATATAATTCCAGCTAAATCAAACAGGCGCCGGGCAGCTGTCATTTCAGGGCTATCATGGTATTTGTCAGACATAAAAATAACTTCTTTTATACCTAGAAATATTATGAAGAGACATGCTACAATTACAAGCAGAAATAAATATGGTAGGGGAAAATTTAGATGTATACAAGGCTAAAAAGAGCACCTATCGATACACTCTAGGTGCCACATCACATGAAAATGTATTATAAATTATACCTTAAGAATGGATCAGTACAATATAGAGCTGTTCAGAAAATAGCCTCCCCATGGAAAATTTTTGGTGAAAATAAAAAGTTGAAATTTTCCCTGAAAAACTGAACTTTTCAAAAGTATATGGGTGGCTTTTTTTTTTGTTAAACAAAGAGCTGAAGTTTTCCATGGAAAGCATGCACTTTCTGTGAAAATTTTCATTTAGTTGAAAACTCAGTTTTCCATCAAGAACAATTTTGATGGAAATTTTTCACTTAGCCTTTGTACAAACCAATATGACTCATCACAATTAAGCCAGGCAGCAACTTAAAATCTCAAGTCTCCAGCCCCCTTTCAAAAAATCCCTATTTTTCAAATACATGTCCTACATATGGGTAACTGACTGTGCCCCAGCTCTTAATTAACTACTCTTGTCTTAAATATGTCGGAGGAGAAATGAAGAGGCAGAACCAGGAGTGATTACAAATTTTTCAATGGCTACCACATTTTCTCTGTTAAAATGCCTCCCTAATTATAACTATTAACACTTAACGATTTAACTACTGATCAAAGCACAAAGTAAATGAACAACCATATTGTGAAGAGCTGCAAATCTGAGTGGAATCTTATTTTGGTGTCACAAATGAGTACATCTTGGTTTGGATTCAAAACACCATTAGTTCTTTTTCACCCCAGTTTCAATCCCTGTAAAGTTCGGAACGCATTAACTATGGATTAATTTGATTCTTCTAGAATCCTGATCATCAATGTCACATTTACTCCTTCCCCCTCCTGGTCTTTCTGTGTGCCCCTCTACCCCCAGGTCTCAGAATGGAACCATGTGATTCTCCTGCTCTCAAACCAAGTACTGGAGTGCAGACTTCTGTGTCAACCATGATCACCTGAGAGGTCAAACACCCTGCAGTTCTTTTTCCTCCAGGACAATGACAGTGGTAATCAACAACCAAAGCAGAGTATCATTTATTTAGAAGAAAAATCACTACAGGAAAAAAATGCATCTTAAAAACAATTAGCCAACCTAAATGCTATGCTTGCTTTTCCTTAATGCTTACCATTCCCTAGATCTGGAAAGGCCCAATTTCTTTAGACTCCTCCCCAAAATCTGTCTCTGTATCATCCTGCCCCCAGGCAGCTTCTTATAAGTACCCCACCTTCATCCGAATCAGACTTTTTAACTTTGAAGTCCTTTTATCTGGTAGATCCCAGAATCACCAAACAACATTCACAGCATATGGGACACAAGTTATAGGATCTCTGAAACTAAAATTTGGGTCCTCTTGTCTTTCTAACATATATCTAGATGCACTTATTTGTGAAGCCATTGAATTAGTTCCTTGTTTGTTTTTCTAACAGCCCCAACATAAATCAGATTAATGCATCAAGGAAGAAGTCTTATTACCCAATATAGAATAATTTTCCCTCACTGACCTGGTCACATGCAGGGCTTTGTCTATATGAACACTCAGTTTGCAGGAAGCATGGCTGTAAATCTATTCCACACTAAGCCTGCCATGCACTAAGTATCTGAGGACCTTGCTGCCATGCACTAAAAGTTCCTTATTGCACTCTAATCTACTCCTGTTTCAAAGCAGGACAGATTAAATCACATTAAGGGACTTTTAGTGCATGGCAGCAGGATCCACACGGACACTTAGTGCCACTGGTATATGGGGTGTTCACTTCTCCCCGGGGAGAATCCACAAATTTTTCCCCAAAGCCAAATTCCATTCTCTGCCCTGCCCCCAAGTGTGCTATAAGTCCTAGTCCCATTGGATGATACCCTGGATTCCATGGTGAGGAGAGGCAGTGGACTGCATCCTTGCTCTCTGGGTTTGCACTCTCTGATGGCTGTGGAGTCCCTCTTTTCCCCCCACGTGTTGGAGTGAGGCAACCAGCGCTTCCTCCCATCTGCCTCAGGTCAATTTACATTTTTATGAATCATTATGCAGTTATAGATGAAGGAACAAATGTCTTTTCCCCCTCCCTCCTGATCTGGTGGGTACCATATGGTTAGCAGCATTCTTTACCAGTCTCAGTGTCCCTTCTCTCAGTGAAGTTTGGATATACAGCACTTTTCACCTGTGACTTAGTTTCACCCACTTCTATTTGTGATCTTGGCTACAGCAATGCTCAGCTCTGTCTCAGTTTCCTTGGTAAGGGTAGGCAGTGAGCTAGCGTTCCTAGTCAGTCAGGCTTCAGAGAATTTACATGTGGGCCTGTGTGACTGTCATCTACCGTGCAGAAATGGATAGAGGTCCTTCACTTTATACACTTGTTCACAGATGCTGCACATGTAGCTTCACCTTAAGAGCCTGTCCCTATTGTCACAAGTAGGTGGAAATTATACTGCCCCCGCCCCTTTCCATCCTAGCCTCTCCATTCACATTTTGGATGACAGCTTCACTCACTCTTATGGCCTGATACCAGTCAGTCTTTTGTTTGTACAGGGAAAAGATCAGGATTTTGGCTTAAGCTTACACTATATCATACCCAAGTAATACATCAAAAGGTATATCTTCTAGCATCCCAAACACCAACATTCCCTAACCTTCCTGGGTATGTATAGAAAGATGGACCAAAGGCAGGACGAAGGGTTCTACCTTGGGTATCTTCATCCATATTTTACATCCTCCCCGACTTTGATGAGATTTCACTACATGAGGTCTGACTATAGTTCAGTCAGTCCCGGAATCCCTATACCCTGTAAAATATCTCCCCATTAACTTTCACCTTCTGCTCTCTCAAGAGATAACCCCTTTATAAACACACATTTTGCTAACTCAGAGTTTTAGGAATTTAGACAGGGAGTTTTATAGAACCAAAGTCTACTGCAGTTACACCTAATAATCTGAAAAAAAAAAAAAAAGGCAAAACATTCAGGCCAGCACACTTGCTGCAGTGGTGTAGATTTATAACAATTGTAATGAAAGATATAATTAAAGTAGGATCATAGAAGTCTTATGACATTTATGAGCAAAGATATTTTAAAATCTTAAGATATCTACCATGTATTACATTCAAATTAAAATTTCATGTATATATACTCCCAACAGACATTGTGTCAGGCAGAAGTTTATTTCTTTTCCCCATACTCTATACTGTGTGTCAGAGCACAGTAAAGTGACAGTAATGATATGCAATGCCTGTGCTGTTCTTTGGCAGCTCCTGGTCTAAGAAGTTGTAAACCTAAATTAAAAACATGCTAAGAATCACAGAGGATGCAATTAGTACTGGAAAAACTTGGCACCACTCAAATGCAAAAACACAAGAAGTATCTTATGAAGTTGATAGTGCAATTAATTTAGATCTAAACAACAGCAATTTAAAATCAAATCAATCTGTTATTAGGTACTGATGAGCAAGCAGTGCTGCAACTCTGACAAATCAAGCTGGCATCGTTGCTCCTTACCTGCCTGGATGATGAGCTTTGCACATTCATTACATGGAAACAAGGCAACATACATGCTGCAACCTTTCACATCAGCTGAGTTTTTGTTCATAATGGCATTCAATTCAGCATGGCACACTGAATTTAAAAAAGTAGAAGAAAAATATTCATAATACTGTTCATTAAAATGAGTCAATCTAAAATTAACTAAGTGTTAAGAGGTAACTGCTTGCATTCTTTCAAAGTCAAATAACCTGACTTGTTCATTATAGAGGGAAAAGAAAAAATTAAACCAGAAATACCAAGATTAATGAAGGTCAATTGTTCTGACCAGACTGCTGATTAGGAATGAAATCATTAAGCACATTAGCATTGCCATTTCCTAGCACCTATAGTAGGCAATGAAGCTCTAGGGCTGAAACTACTTGGTCTTCAACCACCCTAAGCATGGCAGTATCTCACAGCTTCACAACTCTCTAGAGTATCTAATTGCCAATATAAAACAGCTCATTTATTGTTTACATGCACAGATAGGAACATTCTTATGGCTACACAAGTGCTATGTGCACTCTTAAGGGCAGGAGAATCATGAAGTAAAAACGAGCAGTTCTGTCCTCAGGGTGTCAGAACTGCTCAGCTTTGCTGCATGATTCTCTCACCCTGCGAATACACAAGAGACACTCATAACCATAAGAATGTCCTTATCTTTAATGTTAAGTGAGTATACTGATCATGAAAAGATGCCAGATTTCTTGAATGAAAAAACAAAGTCCTCTATTTCTCTAAAGCACAGATATAGCAAAGGCAGCAGCTTCACTGTACCATTCCACCAACGTGCCTCAGCTCTTAAGAACAGACCACATCTATAGGTCTAAATTCTCATACTGGACACATCAAGAGGGTATTTAATGTCTTTCAAACTGGAGTATATTTCAGTCTCCCTGGACATTCAATCATTTAAGGCCCCTGGGCAGTGCAGGGATGTGTGCAATATAAAATACTGGATAGATGAATTAGATGGCAGTTCTAGCAGAGTACCCCCTGCTAAGTAATATCAAGAACAATAGTGGATTTTGATATTCGGATACCTGATGTCTAGGAAAAGGACTGAGATCACCAACTTATTATATAGATAGAATTCCAGAAATGCCATTCTGTGGGTCTGAAGCCTATTATGGCTGTAGAGTCAGTGTGAAGTAATGGAAACAGCTATAAGCAGGGTTAAGAGATCCTTTTGTTCAGAATGTCACCAGACTGAATCATCTCGGGGTTCTAGTCTGTTACTGTCCAGTATTTAAGTTCTCAGCCATTTTGACATTACAAATTCACTGGATAGCGTACAGTTACAACAATGAGGCAAGTATTTATGCCATGCCAAGAATCTCAGGCCTGGTCTACACTACACAGTCAGGTTGACGTAAAACATCTTAAGTTGACTTAATTATGTCAGTGTACACACTACAGCCTTGTCCCACTGATGTAAGTGCCTCACTATATTGACATGACTACTCCATCTCCACAAGAGGCATAGGGCTTATGTTGGTGTGGTTAGGGCAACGCAACGTCTATGTAGACACTGCATTCTGTAGATTGGCTGTTGTCTGTCTTATCAATTTCACAGTGCTGGTTCTCAAACTACTGGGAGGTGTGAGCTGTGATTTTCCCTTTTTTTAAAAAGGGTTCCAGCTGTCAGCCCTGGGTGATTGGGGGCTGGTGCAGAAGGGCTGTGTACACCAAGAGGCAGGGGGGAGGGGATAAAAGGGACAGCTGGACCATCCACCCCTAAGGCTGTTAGCCTGAGCCCCGCCACCTTGGCTTGGACTCGCCTCCCCTGTCCCCACTCACTCACTGGGAGGCCGCCCGTATTCTCCTTCCGCCCTTCCCTCAATCCCGCACCCAGAGATGACAGTGAGGTTCCGGCTGACAGCCTTAAGGCTGCAGCAGCAGCACAAAAGTAAGTGTGGAAAATTGGGGCTAAGTTTGTGTGAAAAGTGATATTGACACTTTAGTTTTGGGAGACAGGGGATGGCATTTCCCCACCCCCCAAACTGCAAGTTTTGAGCAGGCATCCTGCCGCTACATGCCTGCCAAGGCTTGAAGTATGGGGGGTGGGGAGAAGACAATGCTGCTGCAAAGCTCAGCCCCTGCCAGCGCTGCTTTGCACCTGCCTGAGGCTTGCGAGTTGGGGGGGGGGGTAACGCTGCCTCGTCCCCCCCCCCCCCAACTACACCTATGTTTAAAAAAGTGGGGGGGCATGGCCCCCCAGGCCCCTGGTTCTGGCACTAGTGGCCCCACACACGCACACCCT